GGGAGATTTAGCATGCATGTCTTAAGATAAGACTCATTACGAATGCTAAGGAACAATTAAGAAAACATTAAGTAATTTGTTGAAAGAAGTTATTCGACTGTTCTGTATAGCAAATACGATTAGATTTGAAGCTAGATCTCAGGGGCTATCATGCTACAATGGCCAGTTGGTTGATTTTTTAATGGAGCTGGGCCGAGTATTTTTTTAAGAGAGCTTTCCTTATTACTTTTCTATAGGAGATAGGTTTGAATTTTTTATTTATCCATCTATAGTTTTCATTTCCTTTACGTTTGAAACTGTGGAGAATTTTTTTTTTTTATTTATATAAACAAATATTTCGAACCCAAAACCTGAGTGTCTATTACTGCTGTAAAATACGCTGTCAGAATTTCCTAATTTTTTCATGAATGGCAAACTAATTGACTGTATAGAAAAAATGAAATTGCAAAAAAAGACTAAATTTGCTGTTAATTAAACTCACTTGCGAAGATCCACCATCGGAACTTAACCTGTGAACCACAATAATGTTGAAAAATTCTTTTAAAGTCTTTTTTACCTGTATATTTAAATCAAATGAAAAAAGCTGAACTATAGTTGCTATGAGTCTCTAAAATACGAGTGGACAGTTCATTTGCCAATGTTTCGCCGATTCAGGCATCATCAGGAAAGAAATATTTATTTATATATATTTATATGTACTGATTTGTTTTTTTTTAAATTTTATTTAATTTAATTAACATATTTTTGTATTATTATATTTTAGATATGTGTATGTTATATATTTTTTTTCCAATGTTCCATCATAATCAGCTGTTAAATATAACTTTCCTCTGCTTTATGGAACCTTCTGTTTTTTCCTTTAGTATGTATTTGGATGGCTCATATGTGACATATCAATAGCAATTTTTGGTACTAGTTCACAAGAGTTCCGCACGGATTACGCATGGTTCACAATCACTTCGGTCACACTTGTTCATGGAATCCCGAATGCCTTCGGGTTTATCCGACAGAGAACGAAGGCGACCGATCTCTTGAATTAGTTATTACGATTAACTTTCCCGCCATTTAAGTACTTCTATAACCTTAAACATGTTCAGTTATATTAATGTTATTTAAGGTATTGACTTAAATTCGAAATTTAGACTACACATTATGAAATCTGAATCGAACATGTACATACATTATATATCTGTGAAAAAGGAATATTAATAGATAAAAACATTTAATTATTACATCTCTGAATGATATTTCACAATATTTTTCTTATTTATGATTTCTATTATTCATTATCTCTGAATTATCAGATATTCTTCGTCAGTTCTTTTCTCAATACGTTAATTCCTTTCTCGAAAATAAACACGATTTTTTTATTTTACGAATGACTACAATAATCGCCATTCAGATTATTTATTATCCAAAGGATGAAAAACTCTTTTATACAATTTATAAAAGATAATATACAACAGTATATGCGTATTTTTTATAGCCACTACATGTAAGCACGTGTCAATAAAAATTTTATTTCTAAAAGCATTTTTTTTTTTTTTACAGGCCTTGAAGAAAGGACTCAAACATTATTTTATATATGTTTTCTTTTTCTTTCACAGTAATGACCGTTATAATGCAAATTAATAATTAACTAATTAGTAAATACATTTTTAATAAGGAAGTTCCACGAAGGAAATACGTTTTTTTTTCTTCAAAAATGCATGAAAAAGGATGAAAAGGTACAATAGCTGACGTCATAAAAGACGACAACATTCCGTTTTCGGGAATCCATGAACAAGTGTGATCGAAGTGATTGTGAACCATGTGTAATCCGTGCGGAACTGTTGTGAACTAGTACCCAATTTCTTTTCCTTCCTGTATATCTGTGATCTTGTTTTTCGGTCCTAATGACGCCAGAATAGGCTAAACGTTGCCAGGAAAATTCTTCACCTGTATATTAGAGATTCGTGGCTTTATAGTTTGAATTTTACATTTATATTATATATATATATATATATATATATATATATATAATACAAAGCAGAACCTGTATACAGGTGTTCCTTTTGATCATAACATAATCAAAGTATGTATGCAACACATAAAACTACTATTACAATATAGCCTTAATACAATAGCGTTTAAAAGAATCTACAATGTTTTCCCGTGGTCGCAAAAAAGGCAAATACCCACAAAGTAATTAAAAAGGGACTAAAGTAATCAAAGCCTTAAATCGCCCGACTAATCAGGCTCTAAGCATTCACCTGCACAACTTTCCCAATTCTAGTCCCCAACCCCCTCCCCTCGCGTAAACGTCCCTCAGGAAACAGGGTACAATGAGTACAAGTGCTCCCGAATAGGTCAGGTACATTTTTATTACAAAAGTTAACAAGAATGTTAGTTGTACAGAGGCACGATTAAACCGTAATTAAGTCCTCAGCGCTAGTCTATAACGTTAACGTGGAATTGACTAAATTTGGAACGGAGTTCGAAGCGGCTTGTAACAGTTTCAAACCAGGCTAACAAGCACAAAGTTGTTGGCGTAAGTACCTTCAAATAGCGATAAGGCCATTATACAATAGGCAATAAGATTTAAACATAATTTCGATCAAATACACATAATAATCATTCCTTAACTTCTATCAAACTGAAAATTGTTTAATGATATTCATTTAAAAAACAACAACAATAGTATGCATTCAATATTAAATTATTGCCACAAGGCCAAACAGGAAAAATTGTAACAAAAATACAATAATAAATATCGACTATACCCAGTAAGTAGCAGTGTTGCCAAAAATCGGCATTGGTCTAGCGCTTTGCAATGGCAATTTTAGTTACTATATGTAAAGTGGACAAACGTCTAACTTGTAACATTCATACAAGAAACGACTGAAACGACAAGAAACCGCTCGACGTTTCCGACTAATCCAACACTTACTAGACAAACGATCTAAGCTTCCTAGTTAATTACAAAAGACTCATATACATATACATGACTACAATAAGACGTATTTGGACTACTGAGTTGAGCTTAGGCTCCACTATGCCATCGAATTTCTCTCGTATCCAATCCTTACAATCCAAAATCCTTCGGAAAATCCTCAATGCTTCTTACTTTGTCACCAATAAAATAATCCATAATGACCTTAATGTTCCTAATGTTCCTTATGTTTCCGATTTGGTCCAATCCAAATACCAATCCTTCCATAATAAACTTCAGAACCATCCCAACCCTCTTGTTTCTAACCTTGCTTCCACTTCTATCCCTGATAACCCTCCGAGAAGTCTCGAGATCTCCTATTGTAAATACATTTTGTTTTTATAGTACTACTAGTGGGTAGTTTCTCAACAAGTGATTTCATGTTATTATTTTCATAAACAAATAAATATCATGAATAAATAAAAAATAAAAAAATGTAAAGAATTGGTATAACCAATGTACTTTTGCATTTAACTCTTCCGATTGGTTGGTCTTGCAGTCAGTTACCTATTAATTCATTGCTATTTATTAACCGTGTTACTTTAGATCTTGGAAATACTACTACTGAAAACTACAGAATATATACATCTAAATGTTTTATAAACATAAATATAGTAAAATCCAACCAAATTAACAATACATTAAATTAACTTGTAACAAAAAATTAATTAAATTGTCAAGAAAGATGGTGAAAATGCCCTATTTTGGATTGGAACAGATATAGAGTAAAGAAAATCAATACAATGTCGCCAATTATTTAAATAAAAAATTATATGTGTCCACCGATTTTAAAAAGTTTTTGTTTTCAATTTTAAATATGTTCAATAAAAATAACAAATTTAACATAGGAAAAAACTTAACTAAACCCCAAATGAATAATTGGAAGAATTAAATACAAAAGTATATTGGTCCTGCCAATTCTTTACATATAGTAACTACAGTTGTCTGGTATTAGTAATTGGTATTGGACAAAAAAAAAATTAAAAAAAGTTTGAATTAAAATTTTTCGCACTTGACAATATCTGAATTATTTTACAATATAATGTCACAAATATAATACAATAGTAATAAAAAAAATTGTAGCATACAAACAGAAAATGAAACTTTTTAAGAAGTTCTTAAAATAAAATTTGTGAGAAAGGTTTTTGTAATAATGTACCAAATACACTGTAAAATTTTAACTTGTATTTATTCAAATTCTGAAAAAAAGTTTCGTCAAATGAAAAGTAAACAGTAATTTGGTTTGGAGTTTCAATTTCTATCCAAACTATAAAGTCTTAAACATACAAATTAACAGTTAGAGTGTTAAAGAATCGTGGCTTTATACTTTATTGTTCAATTCATAATGTCTCTTTTCCAGTATTTTGCTTATTTTAGTCATTCTAATCTATTTCCAATGAATTGCTTGTATTGCATGATTCTAGTGTGTCCTTTGTTTGAGTAGGTCAGAATAAAAGTCATCTTTTAGATTGCCTGTTAGTTTATTCGAATTCGGTAGAACTTTTACTTATACATTATTTTTTTTTTTTTAATAAAAGTTATAGTACCAAAAAGACTGAAAAAATACCGACAGTAAAAATTCCAGTTATATCGAAGCTTCTAAAAAATAAAACTTTTTTTTTCTATCTCAAGCTTTGTGTAAAATGTATTCATTAAGTAATTTTAAAATATCTATTTTTAACCAAAGACGTATAAAAACATAAATATAAAAACTTATAAACGCAAAGAGTAATTATAAAAAAACAATACACAAAGATGTTAATTTAGAGACTGATTCTGAAATTAATTTATATATATGATTAATACATATAATATATGATTATAGAGATGATTAATACAGAAATAACAACATGTGAGATATGAGGATTCATATTACCGAACAGCACTTCTTCCGTTAGAATCAGGTCTTTTATCCAGCCATTATTTCAATTAATTGTTTATGAAGTAATGAAATTAATAAAAGCAGTATCTTATTTAAATTAATTAAGTTAATAGTAAATAAAAACAATAATATATTAAAGAAACTCACCTGTGGAGAATCCCCCTTATTAGTCCTACTCCTCCTTTATCCTGACTGGAAAATAAAAAAGAATTTATATAAGTTATTTTAGTCTGGAAATATCAGATGCTTTATAGGCATTAATATTCATAGCTTTGTAAACCGATCTAGATTGCCATCCAGTTACTAACCAACGATAAAATCTGTCAATTATCTAATAACTTCATAAAATTCATTATCTCCCGATCAATAAACGTTACAAAGTTTTCAAAGTATAAAGAGCCAGTTCATGGTTATTCATTTCTTTGTTGGCTTTTCTACTTTAATTTAACACTTATTTGCTTTTAGGGATAACTGAATAAATTAACATGAAAATTCAAAAGTTAACAGAGTGTATTTACGTTCGATAAAAGTTGTCAATTATAAGTGAAGTTATTAGAATACTGTTAGGATATTTTCGCTTTTTTAAGAATTATCCAAATCAAATAAATATTTTTTCTCTCCTCTCATGTTGGCCCAAGACTTCAATGGGAGTCCCACACTGCTAAAAAAAATCTTATATTTAATAATTAATAAATAGTAAATAGTAAATAAATTTTAATATCATACGTTCTTAATTGTTTTATCAAAGTAATTGTAAATGTAAAGTAAATGGCTAAGAATAGTCCACAAGAGGGGGAGCAAATCTTATAATAAAATTAATAATAGGATTTGACAGACTTATGTAATTTTGTATTATCAATGAGAGAGTGGGGTAGCTGAGTAATAGGGCACTCAGCTTCCAATGATCAAGGTCCCAGGTTCGAATCCCGGCTCATGGCAGAAAAATTATTTATTCTGTTTCATTGGCCGTGGGGCGACCCTAGGGTAGGGAGACCCTCCTGGGGCACACCCAGCCTCCATAAAGTGGCTACTCTTAATTAAATAATTGACATGGCGGTTGAGTGTGATCCTGGCCCGATCCCCTCTCTACACAACCGTTGGCCTTGAAACAGAACTTTCCCTAAATAGTACTGAACTGCTATGTATTGAACATTGACTAATGGTAATTATAGAAAAAATAATTTCTAACACCTGGGCGGGTACCTGAATCCCCCGACCCAACCTTTTGTAAGTGGTTACTTAGATAGTGGTCGGAATACCTGATAACCCCCTGAGGTAACCTTTTAGCACTCTTGAGAATATTCTTAGCACACCCACTAGCAATAGAAGTACTTGACGACACATGTCGGCCAAAAACACCAAAGGACCAGTCTTATGTTTAAAGAGGATCAAAAAGCTTTTAACTCTTAAGCATAGGAAGAAACGGTCGCGTACCTGCTAAAAGGGGTGTGTTCAACATATCGCTGGGGGTGTGGTCATCCCTTCTGCTACAAAATTGAACCAATAGGAACCATGCTTGCCCCACCCTAGATATGGAAACAAGACTACTGAGGGGGATAGAGAAGAAAAGTGAGGACACTTCTTTTTGGGACGCAGCTGAGGACACTTCTTCTTGGGACTCAGCTGAGGACACTTCTTTATGGGACTCAGCTGAGGACAGCTGGATGAGGAGAGGCTGATAGAAGAGAGGCCTGATGTAGCTGCCCGGCCCTGAGGAGGTCCCTGATGTTTTCTTCTAGCTGGAGGACTGAAACATTACCCATGACTTCGCAGATGCAGCCATGCCATACACCACTTCAAATAACATATTAGATAAGTAATTCCCAATAATTCCTGTAAAGATGTTTAAATATTTAATGGCAATGTAATTTTAAATTCCATCCATCTGAATCATGCCTTCACAACCAATTGTTTGGTTCATTAAATTTTGTAAATAGAATGTATATACATATTCTTTCTCATATCACTTGTAAATAAATATAATTTGTACATAAAAGTTATTTTAATCATGCCACCTATTGATATCATTATAAGCACAGGTAATGTTTGGTAATTAGAGAACAGATAAACACACAACAAGCCTTTGTGAGAAGTAATCCAATAGATTAATCAAGGACCAATATGTCAAATGACATAATTAGTTTAAGTTAATATTTTATTAATTAATTCTGGATAATTATCATCCAGTGGCATCCCGTTATATAAAAATCTATATAAAAACCATTCGAAACGTAGCAGAACCCAAGACCCTTCATGGTTGTAGTGGTACAGGTTTTCTTGTATGATCAAGATTATTATTCTTAATGGACTTTGTTCCAGAATAAAGTTAAATTTCCTATTATATTATATTATATATACAAACTAGTAAAAACTCAACAAGATAAAGAAAAGGTAATGCTAAGTTATAATTAGAAAAATCCAACCAACCAGCCTTAAGTCTCTAAAATGCAGGCAAGGAAAAAAATTCCTGCCAACGCTTCTCCAATTCCAAGTATCGTCGGGACAGAAAATACGACTAACTACTAAACTAACAAAATAGTGGTAGAATAGTTTTAGAAAGTATTTTAAAACAAATATAGAGATGATGGATAAAATAAAGAATATTATACAAATTAGTTTCGTGTTAATACTAACGTACAAATAACTCCGTCGCAATTGAATTTGCTGAACATATTTAAATTTACTTGATTTGTCACTTAAATAAAGCAACACACAAGATGTTTTCCATATACAAATGTGATAAATTGGAGTGGTGGAAGAGAAATGACTGCGTCTTTCAACCCCAGTTCATTATGTCAATCACAAATGGACGTGGTATCTGTCCCCCGAGAGCCATCCATCACGGGCTGGGATCAACACCAGCACCTAAGCTCGGAGGATGTTTGTCTAGTCAGCGAGCATCGATCTTGGATTGTGTGCGAGGTCTTATTGCGTGTAAATTGAAAGGGGACCATTCCAGTAAATGGCATGTTGATGGAACACTTTCCACTAAGTGGCATCGCTCTTGTTAAGAAAGCAAGATCATATGAAGAGAGGTGGACTTATGACGATTACTTATTGTATAACTTCCATTACCTTTTATTAATCTATTTTCGTTTTTTATGTTGGATAATAACATATACGAGAGCTCGACAAAATGCACATGAAATAATATTTTCATCAGTCATATTTTTTTTAAATTGTTTAATGTATCCGACAGCCATAGCGCAAATGCCTGTATGTACAAAATCAAAAAGTACTGAAAAGACAAAATAAAATGTGTATTTCTAATTTTATGGACTATATCCTGCGTTATATTTGTATTTATGCTTAAGACAAAGACGTAACGATTTAAGTCAGATTTTGGTTAGTATTTCTGAAATTACCAAAAACGTCTTCTAAATTTCTATATACATCTATAATCATAATTGTTGATAGCAAGATGAAATTTATAGTTATAATATAATCTTAAAAATCAATACCCTCCCCTCTTGATCGACATTTCTATCAATCAGATAGTTAACCTTTCTCATGTTTCTACATTATTTTCTTACTTTTGAACACAAATCTTCACGTTTCATCACACCACTCTTCTTATAACAGCAGAGTGTGCAGAATGCAGCCAGAATTTATTATATCTTTGCACAACTTGTTATTGTTAGGGTGACATAATATTTTATAACTTTTCATATATTTTTTTTATTTCCATTTATCAGACACAATAATAACAAAGAGTATGGCTCTGAATTATTTGTTACTGTTTCCGAAGAGAGTAAAAAAAATAAGTAATTTATCGCATTTGCTCGATTGCGGAATTTTTAAAAGCTGTGAATGAAATCTGATGAAATTATGGTATTTTAATGGTATGAATTGTGAACCTTAGCTACCCAGCCAATAATCAACCATAAATTTTAATAAGGCTTCAGAATTAATACAAATCAGCCTAAATTTATTTATAAAGGAAGGAGATGGTCCGGGGTTGCGGTCATAAATAGGCTAAATAGTGGTAAAACTATTTTATTGACCGCAACCCCGGACCATCTCCTTTCTTTATAATGCAACGGTCAACTATTAAATATTCAATATGACTCAAAAACGACGGGGCCAACAACGGCCAGATACAAACTCAGCACCACTTTCGAAACGTCGGCTTTCAATAAAATAGTTTTACCACTATCTAGCCTAGTTATGACCGCAACCCCCGACCATCTCCTTCCTTTATAATGCAACGGTCAACTATTAAATGTTCAATATGACTAAATTTATTTATGTTTCAAAAATCATTTTTTAAATAAATTTTACTAAATAGAATGAAGTAGCACAATACTCCCTTTTAATAACTTTAATATTTATATTTAACTTTTAATATTTTTAGTGTCATAACATATCTCCTAAAACAAAAAGAATTTCATGATTATCAAGGTTTTTTATTTAGAGTGGAACACTGCACTTTTTTTTTTCAAAATCACAGTTAATGTTGTGTTTTTTCTATATACAAATATACATAAGGTAACTTTTTTTTTTTGTTTTATTTAATATTAAAGATAAATGGATACATACTTACAATAAAATTGTAAACATTGGTTGAAAATTAAGAATATGGTATTTTTTTACCGGATAACTAATTTAATGTACTGCATCTGATCGATAAAAAATACAATACTTACAAATTTAAGAGACTGTAAAATCTAAACTATAAAATTACCTACTCGTCTAATAAACGAAAAAATAAAAATATAATACAACAAACAGCCAAGTTTCAATGAAATCTGAGGCGTTCAGTGTCAAAAAATAATTATTTTTTTTCCATTTGATTTGGAATGACCTTATGACGTAAACGCAGAAATATATATAAAAAGTATTAATAAAAACAAAAATATTTAAGATAATATTTCTTTAAATGCTTTGTCATAATATATGGTTATGCAATTTATTTCTTAATTTATAAGTACAATCGACTTTAAATAGTTCATTTTTACTTGAAATTTAGCGTTTAAGGATTTTTAGGATTGAAAAGGAAAATGGATTTAAAAGACTCTCCTGGCGCCGGGACATGAACTCGTGACTATTTTAAATACATTGTCTCGTATATCAGGTTGGTGCTGTTCACACACGTTGGCCCGTTCGGCCACTCCGCCCACTTGAAGTTGTAATCAATCAAATGATTGATGTTTGTTGTATCAATAAACTAGCCTGTTGAGAGTAAACACAAA